GAGGAGGAGGTGGAGGCCAGTACCCGCCGAATCTGCCGGACACGCCAAACGCGCCTTACATATTCATTAACGGGCCGCCTCAGGATCTGTACCCGGTCGACAATTTCTCTTCGGGTTCGGGCAGGGTCTTCTCGACCGGACCGGTTCGGCTTCTGATCGGCGGCTTTCTGGGGCTGGTGGCTTTGTGGTGAAGAAAAGTATACAAGAGGGGCAGATTTTTTAATCTTAATTTTACGAGGACGTATATACAAAATATCAAGAGTTTGGGGGTGAATTAAGGATTATATTATTGCCTTTTTTTCATCCTAATTCGTTCTTAGGTTCATTTTATGTTAAATATTTTGGTTAAAGTGTTTAATACTTTAAATAACATTTTCGTCATATATTTTCCATTTTTTTTTTTTACCATATTTCCTCTGTTCATTGTGTAGCTTTCGGAAATAAAATCATATACTCTTCCTCGATTTATTATTATGTATCCATTTAGATTGTATCTTTTATTTTTAATATTTATTATTTTGGGCAATTTCTATAATTTATAAAATATAGAAAAATTAATCTTAAACATAGAGGAAAATAATCAAATGTAAGAAGTGAAAGAGAAACTGAAGAATGAAAAGTAAATGATGATTAATAAAAAAAATATTATATTAATCTATAATTTAATGAGATACAACAAAGATTAATATCAGTCAAAATATGAATTGTTAATCTATTTTTTAATGATAAATAAGGAATATATTGTAGATAAATAACAAATAAAATATAATAATGAAATAAAAAATGGCAAGCACATTTAAATGACTAAAGTATAGGTTTCTTGTGTGATTAGAGCTGTTAAATTAAACGAGCCCCTTGTGAATTCGGCTCTACTCGTTAAGGCTCAAGCTCGGCTCAGCTCGGCTCGGCTCAGCTCGTTTGATAAACGACCAAGGTCGAGGTCGACCTTATTTAAAGCTCGTTCAATTAAAGAGCCGAGCTTGGCTAGGCTCAATAAGATTAGAAAAAAAAAAATGCTTTTAATATATTTTTCTACAGTTCGCCTAGATTTTGGCTTGTTAAGTCTTAAACCTAGCTCCTAAATATTGGTAAATGAGCCGAACACGAGCTTGATTATAGACTTGTTAAGTTAACAAGCCGAGCTCGACTTGTTAAAGGGCTCGGCTCGGCTCAGCTCGTTTACACTCCTAATGGATGTCAAGTTAATCTTAAAATTTAATGTCTATTAGTTTTCTTTCCTTTATTTATAAAATAAGCCTTTCCTTATGGAAAGTTACATGTTATCCACCAGCTTGTTCTCCCACTAGTCTCTCTCTATTTAAGTAGAAGTTTGTTATTATATGGGTCCACCACAACTAAAATAGTTGGATTGAGGTGTCATTAACAGTGCCTATATTCATATTAATTTATTATGCAACCTAAAATTAATCTGGTTTTTATTAAATATACTAGCATTCGACCTGTGCATTTGCATAGATATAAATAAAGTATTATGAATTATTTGTATGCATATAATGAATAATAATTTTTCTTGCACTTTTGCAGGCTAAATTTACATTTAAAAGAGCTGGAATATTTATTTTTTTAAATTTGCGTTTATCTTATTGAATGTAACGTATATTTTGGTATGTATTTTTTTTTTTTGTGAATTATTTATTATTTATTTAGGAATTTCAAATACATTTTTTATTTTCCAAAAGAAATTAATTTAATTGTAACCACAACAATAACATCTAATCACGTTAAATAGTCAACACATTATATGGTCAGCTGTAAGTAAATCAAAAGTTATAAAATGATTTTTGTAATTTTGAAGTGATTAGTGTGTTGATTATCTAATAATTAAATGAGAGGTTAAATAAATAAAAAGTAACGATTTTTGGAGCGAAAAATTATATTGCCACATAGGTTTAATTTAATAGATTTTATTAAATGCTCATGAGCCAACAATTATATATATATATATATACATATATATATATATATATATATATATATAGGCCTTGTTTGGTGATCAGCGGATAGCGGATAACGGATTGTATTAGCGGATAGTGGATAGCGGATTATATTAGCTGATTTGACTAGCGGATTGCATTAGCGGTTTTTAAATAAGTGTTTGTAAATAGCTGAAAATTTATAACTGTTTGACATTGTAAATTACCAATAAAGACATTTTATTATTTAGGGTGTATTATTTTAATAATAATATATTAAAATATTTAATATTTTTTAGTTGGTAATTTATAAATATATATATATTTTTTTTTTAAAAAAAAATACTAACAATTGATTAAGAAGTTATGAATTTTACATTTTTCTAGATAAATTAATCGTATGGAAGACATATTATTATTTGTTAGCATCATAAACTAATGTAGATTGTAAAATAAATAATAAAAATTAAAAAGTTCTTAATTAAAATTGTAGATTGTGAATCCTCTATCCCCAAATTAGAGTTTTGGACCTAAAAAGCTTATCAAATAAGCTATTTACCAAACAAGCTCAATAGCGGATTTGACGGGTCAAACTCTCAATTAAGTCCAATCCGCTAATTTATCCACAATCTGCTATCTTCCAAACGAGGCCATAGATTTTGTGACCCTTTTTCCTATTTTGTTTTGTATTTAAATTTCACTTTACAAATTAATCTGATTTATTTTTTTTCACATTTATTTAAGACGTTCCAGAAATTTGAACGAAAAATAAATAAAAAGATGTTGTCATAAAGGTCTTGCTAAAGAGAGCGTTTGGTGAAAGGAACAAAAATTAAAGCTCATCTTTATCTACAAACAGCTCTCATGTTCATATACTGTATTAATTTTATTGAGATTATAGCAATTAGTGATTTTCTTTGACTTGTTTGGAACTTTGAGTACTGAGTGCTTTATTTCAAAAATTATGTTAAAAGGAATAATAGTGATAAATGATAATTACATTTAAGTTGAGAAATTATAGGTTAAGTACTTTATCGAGTATATGACCATTTATCTTGGATCTTGCTAAGGAGTGGTACAAAAATTTAGATGCACAAATTCGAAATAAGCAAAGGGAAAATAATTGTGAGCAAACATAAAATATACGTGATTTTAAGATTTGCAACTTAAAATATTTATTTTGGTAAAATACAACATAAACTACATACATAATCACTATTTGTATCCTCGACCACATCTTGACCATGCACGTGCTCTTTTTTGTTATTAATTAGACGGTCAAAATGTGGTCGAAAGTGCAAATAGTGATTGTGTATGCAGTTTAAGTTGCATTTTACCAAAAAAAAAAAAATACTTTAAGTTGCAAATTTAAAAATCAGGTATAATTTAGGTTGCTAACAATTATTGTAGAAAGAAAAATGAAAAAAATAAAAAAGAAGATGAGATCAACTTTGATTTCAACAAATTGTGGGTCCCAGAACAATTCCCTTATCATTATCTGTTGAGGTGTCAAATAACCATGAATTTCAGTGGTGATCCATCTAGGGGAGGGAGGTTCTTTCTACTTTTCCACTTGCTTTTTTTTTTTGTCCTATAATATGTTGGGATTGATGAGTTGTGGCTATGGCTGATTGGTGGATTTTAGTCGATAAGCTTTGCTGGTGTTGCAAACCATAGGCATGGAATTGGACACAACAAAAAATACACTTGCTAGCTAGGACCAAATTGAAAATGAAATAAATTGTGTGAAACCTTCTAAAATCTTATTTGTCCCAAAGCATGTGTGGAGAAACATCATGGATAGATCTTATTAGTTACATAAAAAAAAAAAAATCACATTTTGTATATTTTTGTTATTTTTTTTTTCATTTTTTATTGCCTCTTTATAATCTTTGAAGAAAATTTTTGGATTTTGAGGAAAAAATGCAAATTCAATAGTTTTGGAGTATAAAATATAGAAATGATTTCCAAGTAAGTTTCTACGTCAAACTGGAGGGAGATCATTGTAACAATTATCTTTGGTAGGAAAAACCGAAAATTGTGCCAAGAACCATGAAAATTGGTTCTATATATGTATTGTAATGAAATATCATTGCGAACCAGTTGTACCAATGAACGTGTTTTTGTGGCTATATCGCAACACTAATGTCGTCGCCATAAATTCAAAGGTTAAGAGACAACTTTTATCATGCCTATACATTGTTCAGTGGATGCATGATTACTGCTAATAAATAACAATCACACTGTGACAATATTATTGTGCCAATAGGTTAGACTAAGTGTAATGTCAAATTGTTCAATTGTTTGGTAAGGGACCGAGCAAACTAACCCAATAAATTTCCATCAAAATCCAACCATATTTAAAATCCCCCAAAAAGGTCCACCTTCATATAATAACATATACACGAACACTCTTCATATGTTTATAATCTAATGCTATACTATTAACACCATCAATCCTTACATTGTACTGATCTATATGTTATACGATACACTTCAATGAAACAAAGATGCCAAATGATGCTGAAAGAAAGAAATCAAAATAGATGAAATATAAGTGTAAGTGTGAAACACACTTTGCTCAAAAAGAGACAAAAAAAGAGTATGCAAAAGAAAGGAGTGTAACTCATGCATGAAGACAAACATTGTACAAGGATGAATGTGTTATTTTTCGAATTTTGAATTGTCTTCTTGATGTAATCTTGGCCGTAGGTTTGTGTTTGGTTAGTCTATATATAGTAGCCTCTTATTGTGACCCCAACATACAATATCTTTATCCAATGAACATTATCTTGTAGTTCAAACATGGCAATGAAAAAGACCCCGTACTCACTATGTTTTTATTGCTTTTCCTTTGCATCTTTTTACTTTTCCAACATGGTACCAGAGCCAGTTGGGCTCTGAAACCTTTCTTTTCTTTTTGTTTTCCCAAGGAATCTCAGATTCATTTCATTAAACGAAATCTCAGTCACAACCAGGGAGCACCAATGTGCCCATATCTTCAACTATCAGTTCATTCATCCAATCGCAACATCATTTAATCACCATAATGTTGGCTGATGCTAGTTAACTTATGTGGAAACAACAGATTCTTAGTGCTATTGTTGGCTATGGCCTTAAAAGTTTCATCTCATAGGACTGCACACCACCAGATCAATTTATCACATCTCAGACCAGAACTCAATCTTCCCCCAATGCTAAGTATACTGCTTGGATCAGACAAGATCAACTCCTCACCTCTTGGCTCCTGGCTTTCC